CACAGAGGACATAGCAACTGTACTGTTAAGAACAAGAGAGAAGTTAGCTAGTGTATCCGCAGAAATGGACAGGGAAGCAGGCATTAATTATGAACATTTTTCATTTGCTATTGCAGCAGCTCTATTAAAGGGGTTGAAAAATCCAACGACAAAATCAAGTACCCAAGCAGTACTAACTACATTTTTGGACATTGCCTCAAAAGGTATAGATCCTGATTTAAATTTGATTCATTCATCAATGCTAGGATATCTAGCAGCTTTATTACCTTTATCCGCCAAAAATGGGGATATGAAAGAGTTGCTATGGTTGTGTGGAATCTTTGACATGGACATTGATAATTCAGAATTATCTACTACATATTTCGCGATATTTGAAAAACTCGATATACCTGATAACAGAACAGCATTGCTTTTGGTTTCATTGATGGTTACAATGCTTCACAATGCAGAACATGAGCCCGAACGATTGTTTTTATACGGATTTCTGGCGGAAGCTGCGAGTATGGTGCCAGAAGTCTTTTCTTTATTGTATCCTTTTTTTTTTTTAAGAAAATAATTGCAATATTATTAAATATTATTGATGGTTTTAAGCATTCAAAATTCTTAACTCTTATTTTAATGTAGCTTTGACGTATTACAACCCAAAATGATTCAAATTGTCACTAATAGTGACACGATCGCGATATTAGATGCCGTACAGTCCATATTACTCGCCGTTGCTTCTGTACCACAATTAGCAAGACCACCAGAAAATCATATTTCATATTTGGAAGAAGTCAAGTTTAATAACTTGATGGATTGTGGATCCTTCCAATCAGTTACTAGAGAAAAGACTAGAGAAAAGATGAAAAATAATGCTAGGTTGGCTAGTGAATTAGTGGACTGTATTATTAGTCCAGATTAAAAGTGAGAATAACCATTTATATTTATTAAAAAAGAAAAAAAAAAAAAAGTAAAATTTGTATGTAAAAAAGGGTGAAATAGGTGAAATAGGTGTAATATATTTATTATATGAATTTATTTTTTTATGGTAGTTTACCGTATAAATATGTTTCTTTTTTGTGGTTTATTTATCTGTTATAGCTAATTTTTAAAAATTAGATTTTATTTAAAACAGATTTATATATAATCATTTTATTTGTTCATTATATGAAAAGTTATTCGATTCAATCATTTATGCATTGTTTGAATATTTCTAATTACATGCACGTATAATAAAATTTTAAAAATCAGATAAATTTTCGCATAAAGCATCAAAGAATTATATTAAAAAGCATGAATAAATTTAAAGCTTTAGTTAAAATTAACTCAAACCCTAAAAAGAATATTAATAGTTTTTCGTGAAAGTTTATTTGACCTTATTTGATTTTTATATGGGACTATGTATAGATTTGATCTACATAGTATGCCGAACACCCCAAGTGTATCTCCCAAGTGTATCGTGTAGTGTAGTCTATCTAGAGATGTGCCATTCATATGATACTTGAATCTTTTTCGCGTACAGTGCGTACGGTTGTTTCTAGTAATTTGATTGGCTGATCGTATTCATATTAAAAATTTTCGCGGTACATTGAGGTGTTCGATATGCTATATAAATCAAAATTATATATGAATTTTCTAATAATTAGACATTTTTAAGTAAATTACGCAGAGGCACTTTATACATAAAAAAGTCGAATATTTTCAGATGCATGGGTTGCACGTTGCTTTTTTTATCCAAAATCTTGATACTAATTGATTCTTTATTACCACCATTACAAAGTTAAAGAAGTTTTCTTTACATTATATATGAAAATAAAAAGTTTTCCTAACCTATTTACTTGCACTTATTACTTGAATCACTTGGAATAATTATTAAATTAATCGGTAAATTTTTTTTTAATTAAAATGTAAATTTGGCTCCGTAATTTTGTTTGGGACTTAATATCGATCCGTTCGAAAGTTGGAGCCATGATAAAATCTTTTATATTAAATTTTTATATGACGTATAATTTACATAGTACTGTATATCGAATACCCCAGCGGCACATCTCTACCCACGAATTGATATCTTCGCTATGTACAAGCACAAGATAGTTTATTACTGAAGAAATTACTATAATAACGTCATTGCAATTTCCATCACAGCGATGGTTATTCTAGTAACTTCAGTAATAAATTATGTCTTGGCGAAAGTGAGTGGATAGTACCTATACGATACACCAATGAAGAATAAAAGACAAGTGAAAGTATAAAAAATTCGCATTGGTTCAGCCTAGTTCTATCAAACTTCTACAGCAATTCAGTCTAGTTCAAACAACCATGGAATCGATACAGATTCTTTACTTATATTACTAAATTTTCTTATAGCCAGTCTGGTCTAAACCTATAAACTACAGTTAGTCTTAAGACCGTTCTGAAACTGACAAATCAGCATACTCTCAGTCTTAAGACCAGACTATTATCAACAATGTGAAAACTTTGAACACTAACTTTTCACGAGTCATCCACAGACCACATGTACGAATGATAAAGCTCTTCTAGTGGTTCTCGTAATACGTTACAATTTAATCTGTTATTGCTGTTATCCTTGAAGGTGTAGTGAAGAGTAGTGGTAATGAAAGCTTTATTTATTCGTACAACATAATTTGTAAATTGCTTCTATACGCATATAAAAATTAATTGTATCCATGATACGTCACACAGTTATACATAATACAGACAAGAAATAAATTTAGCGAAAATAATTCTACTATTAGCTTAAAAGTACAAAATTTATATTTCAAATTATAGAAATAATGGCAGGAAAACCTTTCTTTAAACATCTTTCCATCTTAACATATTTATTTCCTACAGTATCAGCAAGCTTGCAACTTTCTGATATGTTCAACTTTGAAATAAAGGATTACATACCTTATATTGTGGTCACTGTAATTCTTTTAATCCTTATAATT